AAATGCAAAATAAATATAACAAATAAATATAATAAATTAAACATAAAAAATAATCACAATTCACAATTTTTGAGAAAAGTAGAATGTATACAATAAAAACAATCATAATTAAAATGCAATAATGAATAAACATAATAAACATAACAAAATAAATATAATGAAATAAATATAATAAACATAATACAAGAAAAACAATAACAAATATCAATATAATAAATATAATACAATAAATATGATGAAATAAATATAGTAACTATAACAATAAACATATGATACATAAGAGATAAACACAACAATATTAAAAGAATACATATAATAAATATAATGAAGTAAATATAATTAAATAATATATATATAATGAAATAAATACAATAAATAATAATAATAATAATAAATATAACTTTATTTATATACCGCTCTATCTCTCCTAGGGGATTAAGGTGGTTTCCACATAGACAAAATAACACAAAAAAGCATACAGAGTGAAACATAAACATAGGCATAAAATATTGTAATATAATATAAAGGAATAGATATAATAAACACAATGAAATATAATGAAATAAATAAAATAATCTACGCAATACAATGCATATAAATAATAATAAATAAAATAAATAATAATATAATGGCATCCAAAGATGGCCCCTTACCTGGACCGGGATGCGCCTGGCGATGTCCACGATGAGCTCTACATTGGCGTAATTGTTATTGTTACTCCCTCCAGGGACTGGGACGTATTGGTCAGCCATCTTTATGTACTCTGGAAAGTGTGGGAGGTATGGAAATGTATGCAAATACATTTAAATATATGCAAATACATATAAAATGTTTCTATCTCTCCACCAACCTGCGTTGGCCTTAAGATCCTCAGGGGTCACCATGACCACAAAGCGGATGGCCCTCTCATTCCGGAACATTTCGTAGGACCAGCGTCGGATGGAGCGCATGCACTTCACGGCCGCAATGCCGTTGTTGGCAATCAGCACCTGCCCAAACAGC